TCAATATGTACCCCGCCCCCCTGACCTCACCTGGGGGAACTGCAATCCCCCACGATCCCCCCCGAAATGACCTCTGCTTCTACCGTAATGCAAAAGAAGAAAACTCCCCTCCACAATGCACACAAAAAACCCTTTTCAAATTAGCTCATCTCTAGAGAGATGGACTTTTCATCACTCCCACATTCCAATGTAGGGTTGCCAGGTCCCCTCGTCACTCCGGTGGGGGGATCTGGGGATGCCCCAAGCCCCACCCCAAAGAGCGACCACATGCACAGCCACCCCTCCTCCTCCCCTCCTGCCCGATTTAAAGGGCTTCAGCTGAGGTGGTCCCTGCCGATCAGCTGAAGTCCTTTAAATTGGGCAGGAGGGGAGGAAGAGGGGTGGCTGGGCAGGTGGTTGCTTTTGGGAGCGGGGCTTCCCCCGCCAGCCAGCTGGCCAGGGGCGGGTTGGAGCCCCCAAAAGTGGGTGAACCCCCGCCTAGACCTGGGGGCTGGCAACCCTATTCCAATGCTAACCCCTTCCCCCCCTCCTCAGTCTTAGCAAAAATGTATGAAAAGATATCCCTCAGTCCATCCGATGTGTAGCAGGTTTTGGATCCCAGCCTGTTACCCCCAACTGTATGGTCGGCTTTTCTACATTTCCATCCCATTCTGCTGAGCTTCTCCAGAGCTGCCCGGCCATCTGCAGGAAGCCAACTTGTACATCTTTGATGCTCCCCTTTCATTTTCTCCCTTAGTAGCAGGTAGTTTGTTAGGGAAAGGGTTTAAAGTGTGTTTGTACTTCATGTATACATTTATTTCCTTTCTGTAGTGCCTCTATTTTTATTTACCTGATTTAACTTGGTTCTTTTTCTGTTAATCCAATACATTTCTTTTATTTTTTAAGAAGTTTATTCCTCTTCATTTATTTTGAACGTTGGTCTGTATCTCAATCCCCGCATACACGGGTTACGGTCTCGGTAATTAATATCCCCCAATACACAAGTTTTCTCTTGGCTAGCAGGAGGATGCTTTTGCTGGCCACAGGGGCTGCACGTGTATTGGTGATGTGGGTAACACGAAAACATATTTCTTCTCAAAAGTCATCTTGCTGGTTTTGGCTGAGAGCTGAGGATGTCGGATCTAAGCTGTTCTGCTGTTTTTTTAAAACTTTCTAAAGCTTTTTAACATCTGTTTTTAGAAGATGCTTTTTAATACATGCTGTGTATTTCTTTGAGTGCTCCGAGCAAGTGGAAAACACAACTCATAAATTTTACACCTAAAATAAATAATAATACCTAAAATTTAGATTACGGTAAAAAGCGGGGGTGGGGGAGTGAAAGCAGAAGGTACAGTTTTCTGTTGCAAACCATATTCCACATAGATCCCCGGACTGGTATATATTTTATTTCATGTCATTCTTTCTGTGCCAATACCCAAGGCAGTGTACAGATTAGATATTAAGACAGCAAGCCTAAAACCAGGTACAATAAAGTACAAAAATCCCAAACGAGTACCATTGGAACGGAGGGAATGCTACCTTTTTTATGCCATGCCATTTCTCTGCCAATCGTTTATGTACATTGGATGGCGGCATATAAAGAAATGAATTAAATGATGCTCAGCTCTCTGTGCGAATACCACGGACTGAAGATGCCCATTTCAAGCTTCCAGCACAAAAGACATCCAGCTTGTGCATTTGCCCTAAAGTACAAAAATCCCAAACGAATACCATTGGAACAGAGGGAATGCTACGTTTTTTATACCATGCCATTTCTCTGCCAATCATTTATGTACATTGGATGGCGGCATATAAAGAAATAAATTAAATGATGCTCAGCTCTCTGTGCGAATACCACGGACTGAAGATGCCCATTTCAAGTTTCCAGCACAAAAGACATCCAGCTTGTGCATTTGCCCTGTCAAGTGAGGGCTCACCACCTTCCCACTTACCTGTGATGATGTACCTGCTCTTGGGGTCCCTGCTTTTGGGAACCAGCACCTCCTTCTCCTCCCCTAGTCCATGTACTGAACTGACCCGCAGCTTGTAATAATCCACCTCCGTCGCAGGATTCTCCCACTCTACTTCCAGCGAATTCTCTGTCGTTTCCGTCACCCAAATAGCATTAATGGTGGCCACATCTAGGCAAGAGAGAATCATCAAGAGAGATTTTAATAAAGCTATGTCATTCCAGCTAGTCTCTTTCTTTTCCAAGTGTTTGTTCTAAAAGAATTTAGGAGATAAATGCAACTACTTGGAGGTAAGAGGAGAAGGAAAAGGGTGCAATCATATGTTCACTTTCACACAAGGCAGGCTTTTGGTACCGTTTTGTAGCTTGCACTACTGCTGTGTGTGTGACCACCTAACTGCACCACAACAGAGGAGCCATACTCAGGATGTAAAGAGGCATTTTGGTACCATGGGGGCAAGCAGAGATTCACATTGCATCAGTGCAAGTATAACATTTCCCCAGAAATCCCATGCATGCCATTTTTCAAGCTGGAAGTCACTGTTGGCTGAAATTTTCTTGGGACAAATCAGGACAGAGAAGGGTGAAGAAATGAAATTAAATTAAGACTGATTCTAAATGAGCATTGCTGCAAACATTCCTTAAGATAACGCCAAGCTGAAAACCTGTGAAACTGAATGTGATATTGTCATGTTTTCTGCCACCCCACTCAGTCAAATTTGAAACCTTCCTCCAGAGTGGGAGGATGCATGCCAGTCTTTCCAACAGAGATGCATGCTAGGCCAAAAGATGAAGTAGACTCTAAGCACCAGGTCTGGTGTCTTCACATATTGTGATTGTCTGAACTGAGCTCCTTTTACAAAGTTAAACTCTCCCCACCATGTCTCAATGTAGGTGAGACACTGCAGGTGTTAGAGCAGGTGAAAGAATGTATTAGATCTTCTTACCTGTGCTGGCTTGCAAAAGGCCCGGGTCACTGGAAACCCCCTTCTTCACGTGGTGAATTGTAATTACATACTTTGTGCCAGAAAGAAGGTTTAAAATTTCATAGCTAAGCTGATCTTTGGGCACTCGCACTTGCTTCAAGGATGCCTCCTGCCCAACAGGAAAGTAGTTGATGAGGTAATAATCCACATCCGTAATCTTATCCCAGCCAATGGTCAGAGAATCCTCTGAGGACTTAAGGAGCCGTGCATTCCAAGGGGCGATCACTAAAACAGAAAGAGTGCTGCCGGTTCAACAAGAGGCATTGAATGAGACCAAGAATTGCATCAGTTTTCCTGAGTGGACTGATGGTGAATACCAGTGTACATAGTTGCCAGGCAGTCCCTGGTAACTGACAGGAGGGTTGTGAGGGGGGCAGAACCTTGAGAGACAAATCAAAAAGAAAAATAAAGCTACAGAGCTTACTGGAAGTTCTGACCATAGAGATCCTGATGATTCCTAGAGCTACCTGAAAGTGACAAAGGTTGCTCTAGGAATCATCAGGTACTCTACAGTCAGAACTTCCAGTAGGCAGCTAAGGCTTTATTTTTCATTTTCATTTTTCTCCTCAGGATGATTATTCTCCACCCTTTGGCCCCAATTTCCACCCGCTGATCTGCTGAGCATCAACAGGCAAGGGCTGCAGTTGGTTGGAGGTCTCCCACCATAAGTAGGCAAATGGGAACCCTAAGTACTACAGACTCCTAGGATACTGATATTACAGAAGAATAATATTTACAGGTGTTATTTTGCATGTATGAATAGTAACACTATGTCAAGGGTCTTTATCTTTCAATCCGTGCCCTACAATCTCTGAGTCAGAGGGCGAAGTCAATGGTTGGGGGTCTAGCAAAATCCAGCAAGTTTAAACTACATTGATACCACATTCTCCAGCAAGCAGGGGTACTGCAGCGTCCACACTCCACAGCTCACAGAGAGAAACCTCACTTGTACCATTTGCTAATAAAGGACTCACAACAACCAATGTTTGGACTGCTGAATCGACATCAGGAATATTAAGTGGTATATTTTTAATTATGCAGGTGAACTTTCTTGAACTAGCTGTTTCTTGATTTCTTGCTCTGAATTTTGACATAGTTCAGCACTTTAATTATAAAAGGTTGTTGACTGTGAAGAGGAGAGAATTTCAAAAGGTGTCACTTTTCTCACTTTGCATATGCTGCATTTGCTGAAATCTCCCCTTTCTGCCAAAAACTGCCAAAACTACTGGAAGTCCAGCAACCCTACCCTGTTTGAGATTTGGTCATCTTGTTTTGTCATTATAAGGACTGGAAACGTCATTGTTTTGCCCATAATGAAAGCTAGGATCCTTAGTAATCCATCATGGGCCAGATCAGATGAAAATGAAGTCTAATGCATGACTCATGCTTTGCTGACCCTTTCAAAATTCGGTTAAAATTAAGTAAGTTCAGTGGGCTGGGGATTTGTTACTTTTTTTCTCTGTAGAGCACCTTATACCATATTGCTGTTAAAGAAAACATGTGTGATATATTTACTTGGTGCTTTTTAAAATCCCACCCTGCCTCCAAGGTGGTCTCCATGGTGTATACGGGCCTCCCCTCCTCCTAGGGCTGCCAGGTCCCTCTTCCCCACCGGCGGGGGAATGGGTGGTACAGTTGCCAGGTCCAGGTTGGGGAACTCCCGGAGATTTGGGGATGGAGCCTGGGGAGGACAGGGACCTCAGTGGGGTACAATTAGGCTTGCCAAGTCCCCCCGGGGGGCGGGGGAAAACCCGCCCCAGAGGCCCGTTCCCCGCCCGGGGGGAAACTCTATGGTTTTCCCTCGGATGGTCGTGTCCCCGCCCCCAGCGTGCCCGGCGGCGTCACGGCACTCCGCACGCTCCAGACGCCAGCCGGGAGTCCCCCGCTGCGGCACGACAATGGACTTGGCAACCCTAGGTACAATGCCATAGAGTCCACCCTCCAAAGCATCCATTTTCTCCAGGGAAACTGTAGTCTGGAGATAAACTGTAATTCCAGGGAACCCCACATCCCACCTGGAGGCTTGCCTCCCAACCTCCTCCATCTTATCCTCAAAACAACCCCGTAGATAGTTTAGGTTGGGAGAGAATGACTGGCCCAAATGTCATGGCAAGCAGGGATATGACCCTGGGTCTTCCCGGCCCTAGTCCAACACTCTGACCGCTACTCTACACTGCCTCTCATACGAGTGCACCAGGAAGTCTCCCTGCACAGGCTCTACAGAAGTGTATCGCAAAGCTTCAATTCATTTCACTGGGTTTGCACAGAAGAGCTTTCTGACAGATTGCAGCCATGGTACACACATAGGCAACTTCACTCTTTCTGTACAAATTATTTTTCAAAACTCATATACACACAAAGAAGGAGATGCAAGTGAAGCCAACCAGGAACACATGCATGGTCACCCAATGTGCATTGCAGACATCCCTGTGGTTTTATGAATGCTACTGTCTGGATGGCTGACAGCACAACCTGAACTTACATGCCCTTGCATTGCATTGAACTGCATTGGTTTAAACGTCCTGGCAAGCAGCTCTATAATTTTCGCAAATGGTGCGGTTATTTAAGGTTTCGGTAAGGCAGCCCTCAGCTTCATCCCTTTGGAATTTTTGCAATAAGGCTGTAGAGCTAAACCCGCCATGACTACATCTGAAGGAAATGCCAGTATTTGAAATCTGAGGAAGTGGCAAAATTAGCCTTCGCGTGTCTCATAACCTTTGACATTGAAACAAATACCAACAAGCGTTGCATGCAATAGTCTAACAGCATTATTTTCCTGGCTTCCTACCACTCTCTTGTGAAGCCAAGACTGGCTTCCTGAAAAGAAATAGATTAGCAAGATGTCATTTCTAATAGTTTCACAATCCGGCTTGTATAACCATTTTTTTTTTAAACTGCCTTAAATTTAATATATGTTTTTATTTCTTCCCGATGAAAAACTAGTGGTGATTCTGAAGAAAATGAGCAATATTTTCTGTTCCTTTCTAAGCAGTAACACATTAGGCTCCCCTAAATCTATTGCTTTGGTAATTACCATGTCATTAGTTGTGATGGTAAAGAAATTCTAATTGGTATTTCTGGGTGAGGCTGCCTCTCAAAACACTAATTGGGTTATTTATCTGCATTCTTCAAGGATGCCAACTAAACGTTAACTTCACTTAAATGGGTGCGTGCAGTTTCCAGCTATCTTCCGTGGTTAGACTGTGCATGCAAAGAGAAGAATTTGACCCTACATTGTTTGCCAGTTTGGTGTAGTGGTTAAGTGTGC